CTTGGGAGCTGAAAGCCTTCCGTTGGTAAATCTGTTTGCGTTGCTTGTTCCAATAAGTGCATTTGAAAGGCCTCTTGAGTTTCAGTTTCATATCCCGGCCACAGCTGAAAGTGTTATCTCGGCTGAGATTGCAGATGAAGAGGAGATCAATCTTGAAAAAGACTCTTGGAGCTGCATCGAGCATGTCAAAGACATTCAAACACCAAAGATTTCGAGTTGTTCAGTATCAGATCATTCAGAAGTAGATGAAGTAGATGCTGATTTCAACCCAATCCTGAGTTCCATTCACAACATTTCACATTTCACAACTGGCTCCACCTTCACCTGCTTAGTTTACCTTCACGATTTCGTTTGTCGTGAGGAGCATGACCTCCTAGCGGAGTCCGTTGCGAATCAATATGGCCCCAGTGAGGGTCTCCACTCCACCGATCTTCGGCACTTGGAAAGGCCGGGGCCGCCCTGCTGATGGGAGATCTATCAACCAATACCAACCAATGGAGCTGCAAAAGGCCCAATTTTTTTGAGATGAGCCAAAGAAGAAGAACAACACCTGATGAAAGTTGGTTTTTTTAAGGACATGGTTTCTATCTGACTTTCTATCTTTTCAATCTTGGGAAATATATGTTGAATTCCACCAGTTCCTATATAAGTTCCAGTGGCGCTTGGCCAGGCCCGGCTTGCTGGGCCTGGTGCGGAACTGCCTCAAAGCCCAGTGGGTCTTCGAGTCGGGGCTGCTGGCGGTGTCAACCTGGGCGGATCGCGTCAAACGCCGTGGCAACGCCTTGCAGAACCGCTTGGCGTTGGTGAAGGCGAACTTTGAAGACCTGCATGTGCCCTGGAAAAAAATGGTGATTGACATAGGATCCATGTATGCTATATATGATAACATTTACCATCAATATACATCAATATACCCCCAATGTTAGCATATATACCATACATGGATCCTATGGGTATGGGTTAGTTTAGATATGTTTCGATGGATTTATGGTTTTTTTTGGAATTCAGGAGGAGCTTTTGAAGGATTTTTTTGGGTTCTTTTGGGAGTTAATGGATGATTTTGGTCATGATATAGATATTATATGTTTGGATTTTTGGGAATTGGATGAGTTTGGTCTGGTTGTTGGTTGTTGGTTTGGTTCTTGGCATTCTTCACCATCCAAGAAGTTCATTATCAATATATGTTATCACGAATTATCCAACAGTCCAAATTCAATGGTATCACCAATCCATACTAAGCCATGTGTTAATCCTATTTAATGAAGATAATCCCAAGATATTCCAGACCAAATCTTCCATAAAACCTCCCAACATCTCCAAAACCTCCCAGCCTCCCAGGATCGCTTGCGCGCCTTGCCCAGCTTTCGCCGTTTGGCCTTCGAAGAAATCCACGCGGCGGGGCACTGGGGCCGGAAGCTCTCGGGTGGCGGCTCCAGTGCAGAAATCACGGTGCCACTGGCGAATCACCTGCTGCAGTTTCTCCAAACAGCACCAGGTGGGAGGTGAAACGCTAAAAAAGTGGTGGATTTTGGCATCCAAAAACATGTATCATGTGTCAATATGGGATTTGTGGTGGAATCGTCAGACATCATCAGACAATCGTTAGATTTTATGATATGTTGATACTCCCTGACATGAATAGAGAGTTGTGGAGAATTTGGGACGGGTTAAGAGTTGTTTCGGTCGGGGCATCTCATGTTTTGGAATGGAAGCAGCCAAGACAACCCGGAGAATTCGGATGACTCCCTAAAATTAGCATTCAAAAGATCGAGAAATTGCTGGTCATTGCAGTGTATTTCACCATTTCCTTCGGGAAAACAGACATTTTGAGCTAATTTTTTTGCATTTTTGGTAGCCCATTCTTGAGCTATAGCTGGCTGGTGGTTTGCAGTTTCGGGATGGTTGGCGAAATGCTCTGACTATCTATAGCAATGGTAACAGGAGCCATGTTTATCACTAAGAGCTGCAGGTCAAGTCGAATCGATGATTGATATTGGCTGCGGCTGGGGCGAGTGGATCCCTGCTGCACTGCAGAAGGGCGTTGGAGATGGCAGATTACCTGAGAGTTTCCGCTACCTGGGTGTGGATATTGCATGGCAACCCATCAAGCACTTGAAAGAAGTGCACAAGAACAGTTTCGCTCCAAAGTTGGAGTTTGATGTTTTGGATGGCGTCCAAGATGAGCTTCCCAAAGGATATCAAGTGGCTTTGGTCCGATATGTGCCTTGGCAAATGCAGCAGAAAGGCAAAGGAATGCTAGCAATAGCATCAAAAATTGATCAGCCCTGCCATGCTGCCAATTCATTATGTCAGTTTCAAGACCTCAACACCTGCTGGCTATACATTTTAAACCACTATATAAATCATTCTTGTCACACAAATTGTACCCAACCTTTCACTTTGGCAGACTGTGACAGGCTTCAAGATTTGGTCGCAGCCGAGGTCTTTCAGCACTTGAATTTGAGAGATGCTTCAAGCTCAGATTCTTGAGGAGATTGATGGCTTGCTCGTTTTCACATTGAATCCCCGCCGGTGTAACCAAACATGGCTGGCTGGAAAATCCTCTGTTTACAGATGATTTTCCCAGCTATAAACTTCCATTGATAGGGGATTTCCCATTGCCATGTTTGATTACCTCAGGGTAGGATGGCCCGCATTTGAATGAGAGGGTATCTTTGAATGCACGACTAAGGCTTTGAATTTGCTCCGAAACTTACGTTCTGCCGTGGATTTGGTGGTGCTTTCTTCTTGGCCAGACAGTATCTTGGCAGCTTTTCGCATTGCTTTTGTATCTCTACTTCTGGTTGGAGTTCTTCAACGTTTCCAAGAGATGGACTCCCGAAAAGGGACTGAGCTCGACATGATTAAGCTCTGCTTTCAGCCAGGGAAGTAATGTTTAACTGGAAGCACGATCATGACTTGATTTTCATGATGAGAATTGACAATGGATTATCATGGATGTTCATGGGACGGTTTGACCCGTACTTCTGAATGATTTCGCAGGTGAGAACGAAGATTTGGACAACTTTGGTGGTTCGTCTGCCTATGCCGCCATGGAACCTTCAAGTCTGGGGAAGTTCAAGAGTTACGACCTGCGGAAAGAGCCCTTCAACCTCCCTGCACCATTGAGTTCATGGCCTGAGATGAACGATGGACGAGTGATGTTGGCGTATCGCACCACTTCATTGGGCAATCTTTAAGATACTTTTGATACCATCTGGATCCATCTGGTACGATCTGATACCTGAGTCCTTTCGCGAACAACTTCCCTATGGCGAAGATTTCAGGAGGGCAGGGCTGGCTCAAAAAGCTGATGGCTGAGGGCATTTTTGCAATCCATGGCTCTGCCGGAATTTCTGGTGGCGTTGTGTCGAGATCCAGGCAGGGAAGGCTGTGGCAGATGGATTCATCCTTTCACCCAATCACCAAACGAAGTATGGGGAGAGAAGTACTGCACCTGGCCCACCTTATAGAGGAGTGACTGATCTCACATTTGGATACATTTGGATTGTTATATTTTGGGAAATGAATCGAAATGAAACAACCATTGCGTGAAACTATGGAATTGCAGCAGGGGTTCTTTCCTGCCAAAGGATTTTGGATGTCTAGAACCCATGACCCATGTCAGCTGATCAGTTGTAGAACCACGGTTGAAACGTCATGGAATTTCTGGTGGAGTGACAGCGATTCAAATTATCAGCCACAAATTTGTTCGAGGACGAATGATTTGTGATTTATTATCTCATTACTTGTTGCAGTGAAATTGTCCGCCATTCTCGGCAGACGTGATTATGAAACTCGTGCTTCTTCTTGTGATGCAAAATCGCTGAATGTGTTTCTCTCACTTTCCTCAACGTGCACCTCTCGGGTTGACTTTGGGGTATGCTTTGAGAATGAACAATAAGTGCCCTTGCAATGATAGGTGGTCCTTAGACCATCCGGAGAAAGATGGTGAAGCTTTCATTTCTACAGTTTGCAGATGTTTACAGTAGCAGTAACTGGTGGGTCATTTGATTTTAGTTTTCTATCGCAAGCCTTGGGCAGCACCAGGTGTTTCTTTCAACGAGGCCACTGCAAGGGTACCAGGCCATGGACTGGACGTGCACCAGTGGAGACTGGGTACATGTCCTTTGTAGAATCCGTGGCTGAGACGGACACTTGGATGATGTTGATGGATGATGTTTGGATGCTTGACGAGTTTGGCCAGGTGGTCAGCGAAAGCGGCTTGATCTGAGAGTCGGCCCCCTAGACTTCGCACCAAAATTTGATAAAAATTGTGCAGTGGTGCGGCTTTCATGTTGGGAAATAAGTGGAATTGTCTGCTGAAGGAAAGTGTTGGATGATGTCTGATGATATAGGATAATTATATTATATAATTATACTATAATTATATATGATAGGCCTTCACAAGCAACAGAACAGGGCCTGGAGTCCGGTGGCGGTTTTGAGGCTGCGGATTCGGTCGCGAATTACGCGGCCTTCAGGCGCGTCACGATCCCGCTAGCTGCATTCCGGTCATGCAAATCTGTGCAACCTGAGAAGGTCAGAAGGTTCACAGAGATGCGTCTTGACATTTGCTCGAAGATTCGACATTGTCTCATGATAGTCTCATGCTTTGTTTTTACCAAAGGCTGCCATTAAGCCTCAAGACCTGTAGGAGATTTCTGTCGAGAGTCTCCAGGCCCGTAGCGCAATGCGCAGTGGGCAATGCGTTCGGTTGTTGATTTCCATGTGTTTCATGTCCATCTTCGGCCCGGCTGCTGTGACGGCAGCCCGCCCTGGGCTGGAGGCCTCAGCTTCCTTGTCCGTGGACAGGGTGGCACCTCAATCAACTTGGGATGATGATGGCACAGACGAACTACATGTATGCATCAAACTCGGAGCAGAATGGAGAGGAGGGTCGTGTGAGTGGTTCAAAGGGGAGAAGATCACGGAGAAGGACTGGTTCAAAGAAAGGAGCAACATCTTTTGTGCAGTCGTGGGTCGGATGTTTGGGCTCAAGATTTCTTGCCAACATTTACTTCGTTACTTTGACTTATCAGCTACTGAGCGACTGAGCGCGCCTTGTTCCTTCATGCTTGTATGGGGAGCCCTGGCGGTTCGCCAGCAGTGTGTGGTGTCTTCCGGCCACGGCCTTAGCGCAGAGACGTGTTTGGATGCAATTGCTGCGGGAGACCCAACGGAGGATCGTTGCAGACAACCGGCATGGCATTGAGTTGGGAATGTTTGACAGCAGCACAGCCCTGTGGGAAGTGATGAAGCAGCATCTCTGGGTGTGAGAAATTTCTTTCAAGTGGCAGTGATCCAAATCTTTCAAGTTGCTATCACAAGCTGGCCTTGCCTGGCGAGCGCGCAGGAGTTCATATTATATGAACTCCTGTGCACTGGCAAGGCCAGCTTGTGAACGAGTTGCAGGCTCTGGCGGGCCGGCAGAGCCGCGGATTGCAAGCAGCGGCAGGGATCATGTCCCTTGCTTTGCACAATGCCTTGAGTTCACAATGCTGAAATGAAAAGTTTGGCAAGCAAAGTCAGGGAGCACTTTGGGGTGAGCCAGCGTGAGCCAAGTTCAATGGTGGCCGATTCCGCAGAAGCTTCGGCCACGTTGCGCAAAGCTGCTGGCTGAGTGTTTGTGATTCATTGCTAGTTATGACAGCCTGTCGTGAGTAGTTGCCCCTAAGAGCAGCAAACCCTTGGTTTCTGTTTGTGGTTGAGCAGGGTGTGCCGGATTAGCTTGTTGCTTGGGGCTGCTTTCAGCTGCGCGAGATCGCGGGATAAGATGCAGAGCAGTGGGCAGATGGGCTGGCCGAGCTGCGTGTCATGCTGGCCAGGAAGCTAGCTTCACAATGTTGTTTTTTTTGGGCACCTGTTGCAGTTCAAGAGCTGACAGCCTTTGACGCGGCTCTGCTTGTAAAGCAGTTGCTGGCGCAGTGACGGAGCTTGCAGAAGCAGCCCCAAATGCGTGCGCATGCAAGAAAGGCGTTGCCTTCCGAGTCAAATGCAGAATGCTGCCATGCAGCGTCGTCCACTCGCAAGAGTTCTGGAGGAGCAGAATTGGCGAGCAGGAGGCATTGTTTGGAGAGGCCAGGGAAACCAACATGGCTGCCCGCAGCATGATTCCATGCGCGAAATGCGCAGGGCTTGCAATGTTTGAGGTGGCCGTGGATTTGACGCAAGTGGCAAGCTACCAGGTGTGAGTTGTCACGTTTGTCCTGCTGCCCTTTCATTGGCCGTGCTCGACTTCTGTACTTACTTACTATTTGTGAAAGAAGCAGAAGGTATTTGCAGTGCATTTGTCGCACTGAGAAGTTGGGCACAAAGCTGAACAGGTTTCAGATTTTGCATGTACCTCCTGCACATCTGCACGCATCAAATGCTGTCCTGATTGACATGGCCTTCATTTTTTTCAATCCCACGTGGCCAAGTGCCTTGCAAAAGGTTTGGAACTGGCGCGTTGGAATCGCCCCTACTCATGCGCAATGCATTGGTAGCATCTGAGCCAGCCTGCTTCTTGAGTCTTTGAAAGAAATAGAGCGTGCAGATGCATTTCCTAAGTGCATGAGTTCCTCAAGTTTGGAACCAAATCGCACTGAGGGTTTGGATTGTTTCCTATGAGGTGCCAGAAGTAAGATTAAAAAAGGAAGTGCAAGACATCGCAAAACCCTGTGCACCCAATACTGAGGGGAAAAGATGGGAAGACCCAATTCGCATTTCAGTGGGAGTGATGAAGGAACTGAACAGAATTTTCCGAGCATTTGCAGCTGAATGATTGCAACCGTTCTGAGTGTCACTGTGCTGAGGCGGATTGATTGAAGAGCTGGAATCGTAGGGGTTGGTAGCGGTGACGCATTGAAAGCTGCGTAGCTTGAGGCAAAACAGCAACAGTGTTTATGCGTTGATGCTCACTTTGTTGCTTAGATGTTTCCGACCACTGGAGCAGATTTCACTATCCCTCTGGTTTTGCATTTAAGTTGAGAGTGCGTTGAGGAACCATTCCGTTGTGAACCATCTCAGTATCAAATCTGGTGCAAAGTCGACCAATGGGTGCAGTTCCATGTAGTGACTGTAGCAGATGCCAAAATGCGTACGGAACTCAGATTGAAGTGGAGTCATTACAATGGTATGCGGTCAGGTGCTGGTGTGACCTGCCTATGAACAAACTGGGGCAACCCTTTTTTCAGGACCATGTCTCGACGTTTCCACCACCATGAAACAACCTTCAAATCACACTAGGCACTAAAGATATCTGCACGAAAGACAGGGTGCGAAGCCGTATTAGTATAACTCAGAATAACCCCATCATCTAACTATTTTATCATAATTCATATACAGAATATGATATCATCCCTTTCTGTATATAAATTATGATAACATAGTTATCGGATATGTTAAACCGGCCATAAATTGTGTAAAGATCCTTTGTTTGTGATTGCATCCAAGGTACATCACTATCAAGCATCAAGATCACTGGCCAGTGGACCGCCGGGGTATCAACTGATCGGCTCCAAACGTGCCCTCCGGTAATTGAATTTAGTTAAGAAGAATGTCCCAGTGATAGATTCGATTTACCTTCAACGATGGTGATTTTCCATAGCTATTTTCAATTACCAGAGGGAAGATGGTAGGTTATGTATGGTATGTTTCACTTTCATGAAATCCGCAACTACATCAGAAACATGACAAACAATTGGAGGTGGACCTATTGATGCGTCTATTTTGTGGAGAATCCACTGGTGGGGGTAGATGGGAGGCAGCAGCTTGGGAAGCAAAGCATTCTTCACGTGAGGATATCGCCACGAGCCACACTGACGTGCCAGAGCAGGTGTTTTTTTTCAGCGGCCAAGCATTGGAGAGTGAAGATGAGTAAAGAAGCCCAATATAGCAACCCCAAAATAGATAGAAAAGTGGAACCTCGAGAAATGTGGTAAATAGCATCTATAACCATCCGGGAAACACCGTTCATCACTGTTCTGTTCTATTGGGCCTTACTCTACAACATTGTCAGAATCCTGTGTGGGGACATCCCAAAAGATGTATATCAAACTTTTGCACCCAAACCCAGCACTAGTTTCCAGGGAAGTGACACGGTGGCATCTCGAAATAGTGTGGGTGTCTTGAGCGGTGAATTATGGTGAAATGGTTTCTTATTTTCTTATGTTTTCATTTTAGAAGCTTTGCGATACTCGTACTTATTTTCCAATCCTCCCAGCTTTGTGGTACTGAAACATGACCTTGATATCTATTCAATCTATTCTTTTCGGAGGTTCGAGATGATCCTTCTCACCCTTCCACAACCCTTGAATGATGTCCAGTTCTGCTGCTGAGATCGGCATCTGGATATTTCAAATCCGCCAGGCATATTACACCAGCATCATTCTCCAACAGCACGAGTGGAGTCCTAACACCATTGGATTTGTCAAGGCTGAAAAATCTTCTGGCATAAAAAATGTCGATCATCTCCAGAGGTGAGGGACCAGCGATTGCTTAAAACACAACGGGCTTTCAGAAACTGTTTGATCAACAGGATTTCTTAAGGGAAACAAAAATCAAGTTTTTCTGCTGGATGTTGCTCGAATGAAAAAATTGACCCACTCGAAATCCTCAGGTACTGGTTCTCTGATGCTGGAGTTTGTTGGTCCTTCGCAGCAAAACGCTTTCAGCCACCACAGTCGCATCGAAACAAGCCTGGAACAAAGGTCTTTCAGGCCACATGGGAATCCATGGTTTTGGAAGACAAATCTGAGATACATGGGATTTTAGCCATCAGGAATGGGATTCGAATGGGAGTTAACCAGCTGAAATTGGGACTTTCCATGATTTAACCATGTAATTGGATCTATCATTCCTCGCCAGGGGTTCAATAATTGTAACTCCTCAAAAACATCAATGGGTTTGAAAGGATTCCCTCTCCACAAACGGATTTTCAGATTTGAATTTTGCGAAAAGCGGAAGAGAGCATACATGTTTAATGGTAAGAAAGAGGATTTCCACTTATTTTTTTCGTAAAAACCAATGCAGAAATTGTCCATGTCTTTGTTGAGGCAACGGGTGAAAAAAATTGTCGTTTCATGACAGGTGGGTCTCACTTCACGCACGGGCGAGATGCTGCAGAAATGCCTCAGCCCTTTCTTTGAGCCCAATAGCTATGCACGGGACTGAGACGCTTCAAGACTATAAACTTACTGGTGCTTCGTAGGGAATGGGGGAATTATCTATAATAACTATCAATAAGAATCCCAGCAACCCCCATTCCCGTCCATTCTTTGCTAAGCACCAGTAAGTAAAACTTCTGATAGAAATTGGGATTTGCTATCAACATTTTTTTTGATTTTTCACCAGTCATATGATTGGGCTACAATATGGGTTGGTCTGAAAATGTTGAAACAATTCCATTCCATTCATGGGTTACATCATCATCATGTTTGCATCTAGTAGAGTTGCCATTTTTTGGATTGTGCCCCATTTTCAGACACCCAAATGGCTTAGTCAAAAATGATCAAACATGCAAATTCCATGATTCGGCAGACTGGCCAACGGTTGTGAGACGCAAGACATTGGGTGTTGTTCTTTAAGGACCACGTGCTGAAGAATTGCAATTCTTTTACCGTGCTTCCGCCACGATTTTGAGTCAAGTTGGGCTTTGCCTGAAAATTGATGAGAATTGATGAAAATTGGCTGTCCTTGAACCGGTTGATTTTCGTTTCGGAAAAAGAGTTGCCATTTTGGAGCCCATTTTCAGTCGCCTCTTTTTGGGGACATGTTTGTCCACGGGATCTCTGCACTGAGGATTGTGCCCTGGCCTTTTTGCTGAGCAAACGACTGCCACTTTGGTGAACGGCTGCAGCGGTTGCAGGTCGAAGCCATTTAATTTCACATTCAGCGAGGGAATCATATGGAATCTTCACATTCAGCAAGGGAATCATATTACCTGATGCTTGTCGGTACTTCTTCCAGTGTCATTCTGATGTTCAAAACCCTGGAGCACTTTTCTTCTGCTGAGGCCTTTGAAGTACAGCAGCGCTCAAGAAAATGTGTTCTTGCCTTAAAGATCTCGGTCCTGTCACCTTTGTTATAGCACCTTGTTGATAAATGTTGATAGCAGATATGTTTGAAGAATTATAGATCAAATCATGTCTCAAGATGGCTACCAAACACCAAACACTAGGAAATGGCAGGAAATCTAGCACCCTCCGGCGCTTTTGTTCATCGTTCCAGGTCGCTCCTGTCCTGTCCTGGATGGCAAGTGGGCAACCCTGGCTGATCCTGGCCTTTTATGACTGGGGAAAGTTGAAATCCCAGCCTTTTATGGCGATGTTGGGGACTTGGGGGTGGTTGATATTTGGGTTTTCCACATTACCCTCTAGCAGCTCTAGCAATCTAACATTTTGCCATGGAAAATGGTGAGGGAAATGATAGGTGAATCATGGCTATCACTGGATATTTTTGCCATGGCGAATGTTAAATGACTAGACGACACGGTGTCACGACAAGGAATCTGTGTGAAAAGGGCAGCGATAGCCACGTCAAGGTGGTGTCATGGTGGTATTCCCAGATTGAATTGACATCCAGCTCCAGGTCAGAAAAGTCAATGAGGCTGCATTGAAGTTCAATTTGGAGGCCATTTATATAAGTGTGAACTGTGCAGTGTTCGCCTTTGCCGGATCAAAAGGATGAAACAAAGAGGTGCCAGTGAAGTGGTGAAGTTCTTCCAGGCCGTGGTCATGAAAGTGGACGAAAATGCCTGGAACCCGACTGAAGACGGGTGGAATCTGATCCAATTCCCACTGAAGTCCTTGTAATTTATGGCTTTCAGACTAGCTGCGTCTGTGATTTTATGTGGTTGCTCCAACACATGGGGATTTTTACCCGGCCCAAGATTCCAGTGGTTGCTCCAGCTGTTACGTGGTAAACCCTCCCACAATCAAACATGGGACTGGGTTGTAAATTTATGGTTATCAATGTTATATATAAATCTATATGACTAGGTATAACTGGGTTCTAAATATTTGGTTGGTAGTTTCAAAGATGTTTCATTTTTCCATAATATATGGGGTAATCCATCCGAATCCATCCCATTGACTTTCATATTTTTCAAGATTGTTAAAACCACCAACCAGCTATAAATATAAATACCTAGTTATCATTGGTTTAAAATACCATTTAATGGGTTTATTATTATAACTGGGTTATTCTAACTTATTTACCATTATGATGATGATTATTATTGTTATTATTATAACTGGGTTATTATAACATTATAACTGGCTTATTATAACTAATATTTTGCCATGGTTAAAACCACCAACCAGTTATAAATTATTGGGTGATCATCCAGTGACGATTCCTGGGACGATCAAATCCCTAAGGCTTGGCGTGGCACCTCGCAGGCTGAGCGCTTTGGACAGGTTCCTGACACCGAGCGTTTCGAAAAGAGCTGAAAGTGGAGTTCAGTGGACATTGAAATGATGATTTCATATGATTTCTATATATTATTATATATTTAATAACTATATAACTGTAACACACATATATATATAAATATAATTATATATAACATATATATATATTATAAGATAGATTTGTAATATTATGATATTTTATTTCCACGGTCCACTTGGAAGAATCATCTTGGGATGCAGGATTCCTAGATTTCAAGAAGGTTCTCTTTGAAAAGTCTAAGCTTTCTGGCAAGAAAAGCGACATTTTGTGCCAGAAGAGCAGAAGAGCAGCCCTTTTTTCCTGACAAAGTTGTGGTGGCGTGACTTCCACTTCACTAAGGATGTCGATATCAGCGGCTACAGACATTTCAGCCTCAAGAGATAGAGGCATTGAGGAATAAAGATTGCAACTAGAGGGTTTTCATGGATTCCCAGGATTAAATCAGCAAAGTTGTCCCAGCAAAGTGGACATCCTCCATGAAGCTTTTCGGCTGCCGAAAAACATCATGACATCTGTGCGCGTTAGTGAGCCGCATGTCAAGAAGGCGGTTTGGGGTTTCGGGTTTGGAAGCAGAGAACCGCACTCAGTCGCCTAGGTTTTGTCATGGGTTGATCATGGTTGATCTATTCTTTAGCCTCCAGAAAGGCTGCCTCATGCGATCCATCTTATTTTTTCCATGAGATCTAAGCAGAGTAGCTGAGTAGCATTGAGTAGCTCACAGTTTCACCCGTGAAACATGTGGTAAACCAATTTTTGAGCCCAAAAGATCCCCAAATTTAGTAAGCCATCATAAATCACCAGCAATTTTACCCCCCTGGGGCAGGCCCTTGCAGGTTGATAGCGCCTGAGGAGCAACTGGTGATGAAAATCTTCACAGTTTTCACCCGATTTCATGGTGAATCCGGTCGCTATTGCCCATTTCATATATTATGATATATGTCATGGGTATAAATCCCATATATATATAAATCCCATTGAAATTGATATATTATGATATATTGCAATTGATATATTATGATATAAATCCCTATAAACATGTATAGTTGCCATTTTCAGACACAGCCTTTTTTGTGCCATGGTCAAGTTGGATGATCTAGCCAGTCGGGTGTGGGATTGTTTTTTGGGGTGGTCAATGACCATAAACCATCTTCTTGAGCCGCTACATGTGGAGATGGATCAAAACCTATGATTTTCCGGATTTTCTGATTTTTAACATCCCCAAATCCAGGCCTTTTTACCCACAGCTATATGGTATTTCAGACCCCGCAGAGTCAGCTTTTTGTCGCTCTTTTGGAGCCATAGCCCCTCTAAAGTGCAATTCGAATTGGGTTTCCAACAAACCAGAATTGAACTAGGCATGGATACAAAGACTTCAATGGCTTCTGGCTGGGTTGTATTCTCGCCAAGAGACAGCAGTCGTGTCAGTTCAAAGTGTGTTGGCTTTTTGGTGTTGCCTCAGCTTTGGAGCTTGGAATTTGGAAACATTCGGATTTGCCTCAGTTTTGCTAGCCTCGGAATGGAGAATATGGAGGCATCCCATGTCTGACGGCTCCAGTGGTCTCCACCGTGCTTTGTCAATCTCTCCGTATCCCTGTGCCTCAAAGGACGACCCAGGGACCCAGACCGCTGGGATGGTGAAGCACTGAGAGATGGCCGTCGAACATGTTGGGTTTGATGATGTTGGGATAAGGTCTTGAATCATGTGACAGATGGTCTCAAAATAGAAGAGTCCTTCAAGCAAAAGAACGATACTAAACATTTGATTGAATCTGATCTGGTTCAGGATTCGTGCAATTTCTTTGGTGTGATGTGAACCATGTTGGTTTCAGCATCCTCTTTGAAACAGGCGTTTTGGCTTAAGTGCCGCTCGCTACTTCTCGTTTGTTGCAAAAACCTGTCCATATTGATTTTATCGGGCCATGTTTGGCCGAATTCACCGAACCGGTCGCGGGTCCTAAGGACAGGACATGGGACCGTTTGCCAGTGTCATTTTGCAATGGGCGCTGCTTCCCGGAGCAGCGATAAGAGACAGCTTGAAGCCTGAAAGTCTCGTGTTGGACGCAGGCGCGATCTGGCGCGACTTCGATGTCTCAAGTTTTGGGATCCTGCGGGGAGCAGGCCTTAAGCTTGATGAAATTGATTGAAATTGCAGGTCCAATAAATGAATGTAGTACAGGAATGGTTCCCAAGGTGCATGATCTTGAATTGAAATCAGATTTCTTGAAATTCTAAGTCATGCCTATGATTGTTTATGCTAACGCCGCCCGTAGAGACGCGGGTTTTTTTAACGTTTTTTTACTGCGTTCATACTTTTTGTGGGTTGTCTGGGTGGGGGGGGTGGGGTGATGTTAATGTTCCTTGGAAGCGTTACGTGACATACGCTGGGGTTGGGGTGGGGGGGGGGGGGGGGTGATGTTAACGTTCCTTGGAAGCGTTACGTGACATACCCTGGGGTTGGGGTGGGGGGAGGTGGGGTGATGTTAACGTTCCTTGGAAGCGTTACGTGACATACGCTGGGGTTGGGGTGGGGGGGGTGGGGTGATGTTAACGTTCTCCAGTAACTTACTTCTGAGACGAGGTTGATGCTACGTTGTAACATCTTGTCTACATCTTCTCACAACTAACTTCGGATACGCTCTGGATGCTACGTTGTAACATCTTCTCTCCAGTAACTAACTTCGGATACGCTCTGGATGCTACGTTGTGACATCTTCTCTCCAGTAACTTACTTCTGAGACGAGGTTGATGCTACGTTGTAACATCTTGTCTACATCTTCTCACAACTAACTTCGGATACGCTCTGGATGCTACGTTGTGACATCTTCTCTCCAGTAACTTACTTCTGAGACGAGGTTGATGCTACGTTGTAACATCTTGTCTACATCTTCTCACAACTAACTTCAAAGCCTTTGGCAATGGACCTACAGCTGGCAGTACAGATGCAACAATGGCAAAGACCTGTGGACAGCTGTGCCACATGTCCTGAAGCACATCAGAAATGCCTGAGTGCAAAACAGCCCGCATCTTTACGGGCGGCGTTACCTTGTTTATGCCTTAAGGGGCATGCTGCACCATCGGTCGGCATGCACATGGCATCCAACACCCAGCATACTAGGCTCATGTCAAAAACATCTCACGACTCCTCAAGTCCCGCTGACCCTTGACCCTTGCCCCACAAGACAGCTATGGAAGAACTGTGAATCTGCAAACCAGTTGTTCACTTCTGGTTTGAGGTAGCTTACGGTTTGGTTGGAAAATGGTCATTGTCATAATTGTCATTTACCTCCAACTTGACATAACTTGACAATCCGATCGCCGACTGGTTGAGTTGGAAAAAATGATTCCCATCCACTGGCAGATCCAGGTCGAGATGGATGTCTGGAGGAAGCCAAACGAATCGAGCAGTTGATGCGGGATCTGGCTTATCCAGGCTCGATTTTGGGGAGAGAACCAAGAACCAGAGATGTTGTGGATTTTTTTCGATTTCCCTTGTGATTCTCATGGATTTTGGGAAGGAAGCTTCTACTGGTTGATGACTGCGGCAGTTGTTGTGTTCCATCGTTGATGAAGCAAGGAGGGCCATGTTTGGGGATTCGGCAAGCTCGCTCAGGCCCTTTGGAAGGGAACCACTGTGACTGGCCCGGCATCACTTGTTGGCAAAACTGCCGAGTCGAGAAGATCGAATGTGAGAACTGCAGCGGCCATCTGCCGGAGAAAATTGAGCTCCGGCATCTCTGGGAAGACACTCTTCTTGTGAAATGTGTCAAGTGACAGTCATTTTGTTTCCATCCCCCAAAGGCCCCAAAACCATGGTGGATGTTAGGGGTGTTTAATGTTAGGGGGATGTGATTAGTTGCAAAAACATGATGAAAAACATAGGGGTGTTGGACTGCACTGATTGGCAACTTCGCGAAGTTGTTGCCAGTCTCTGAAACATGCCATGTGCCAATTGGAGGTGACTAGCTGCCTAGCTTGATCCATTGTCAGATCCGTCAGATCTGTCAGATCTGAGGTAAGTCTCACATCGCCCACGCTCACTGGCAATATCAAAGCCTTCAGCGGGATTCAACTACTCAATTCTTTGGAGCTCAAGGGGACAGAGATCACAGGTGAACT